CAAACTTGATTTTCCAGGACTGCCCCCATATGAAGCATTTTTCAGTAAACTTAGAAACAACAAACCTCTAGACAAAGATTTTACTGATTATGAAAAACTGAGGAAGAGTGGACTTGATGAACAGCATGCACTGAAAAAGCTTCAAATCAAGACTGTACCCCCATCTGGTCTAGATAATTACAGTTACTTACAACAAACTTGGCAGAAAAACGGAATGACTGTGTTCAAAGACTTTTTGCAGTGGTACAACAACAAAGATGTAGTTCCAACCCTGGAAGCAATGCAAAAAATGATTCAGTTTTATCATAACAAAGGGATAGATATGTTGAAACGTGGATGTAAACTTCCAAATCTAGCAAACATATGTCTACACAAATCTACAAATTACAAGTTTTATCCATTTTGCGAAAGTGATAAAGATTTGTGTGAAAAAATACGAGAAGACATGACCGGTGGGCCTTCGATTGTGTTCACTCAAAAAGCTGTTGTAGACTAAACCTTTATCAGAGATTCATCAAATATTTGTAAGTCAATCGTTGGAATTGATGCGAGCCAGCTTTACCCCTATTCAATGTACCAAGATATGCCAACAGGATGTATACGAGATGGGAGTTTGACACTGATATGCAGAAATGCAAGGCTAGACATAATCGAACTCGCAACTTTGAGAATATGGTCATGTCTTTCTATCAAAAATCAAGACCAGAATGTAAAATTGAGAGCTTATTTACATCTGGAAAACAGAAGAAAATTGACTGTTTTAATGTGGACAGTATTTGTGATCACTGTAAAACAGTATTCGAGGCAATGGGATGCTACTATCACTTTTGTTCTTGTCAAGAAACTCGTCCCTCCTTAACAGAACAGGATATCGGGCGATGAAATAAGAAGAGAGAGATGGATGAGATGAGACGAGAATACATTCAAGAGAAAGGATACAAAGTTGAAGAAATGTGGGAGTGTGAGTGGTGGCAAAATTTCAAAACCAATGACAAGATCAAAAATCATGTTCGAACCCACTTTCCCTACAAAAGACCCCTTTCAGACTCTCTTCTAGCAAAGATAAAAGATGGATCTCTTTTTAGTTACGTTTAGTGTGACTTAGTTGTTCCAGATGAACTGAAATCGAAGATTGCGAATTTTGCTCCAATTTTCAAAAATACTGAGGTTGGAAGAAACGATATTGGTGAATATATGAAGAATTATGCTATTGAAAATGAACTGTTGAAACATCCACAGAGAATGCTTATATCTAGCTTGAAGCTAGAAAATAGAACAGTTATAACTCCTCTCTTCAACTTTTATTTGGAACTTGGCTTGCAATGCACCAAAATTTATCGTTTTGTTGAATATTCTCCTCGGAAATGTTTTAATACTTTCGTTCAGTCAGTGGTTGATGCTAGAAGAGAAGGAGATGAAAACCCTCTATCAGGAGTTGTAGCAGAAACAATGAAGCTCTTGGGCAATTCCTCCTATGGATATCAGATCATGGATAGATCCAGGCATACAATCACGAAGTATCTGAACGATGAAAAAACTCACAAGGCAATCAATGAACCATTGTTCAAAAGATTGAATACAGTTGAAAAAAACTTGTATGAGGTGGAGTTGTTGAAGTCAACCATTGAGCACAGAGAACCCATCATCGTTGGTTTTTTTCATACTTCAGTATGCAAAGCTGAGAATTTTGGAACTCTACTACAACTTCTTTGAAAAGTTCTGTGATGTATATAAATTTGAAGAGTTGGAGATGGACACAGACTCACTTTACTTGGCACTTGCAGAAGAAAATTTGTACGATTGCATCCAACCAGATAAGAGTGCTGCTTGGGAAAAAATGAGGGAGAGTGATTACAGAGATTCCTTCAAGGCGGATGCAAAATCTAATTTCCTTCCTCGAACGTGTTGTAGTATCCAAAAAAAACATGATAAGCGGGAGTCAGGACTTTTCAAAGAACAATTTAGGTGCACAGAAATGCTCTGTTTATGTAGTAAGACATATTGCTGCTATGACAACAAGTCAGACAAATTCAAATTTAGCAGCAAAGGATTGAATAAGCGGGTTCTAGGAGACTCTGGAGATGGACCTTTAGCAAAGTATAGGAGAGTAATCGATTAAGTTATCAACTTAACATCTACTAATAGAGGATTCAGAACTATAAATCATATGGTTGCTACATATGAACAGACAAAGAAAGGACTAAGTTATTTTTATCCTGAAAGACAAGTGCAAGATGATGGAATTCATACAAAACCATTGGACTTATAAGAACTCTTCTGATATATTAAATACTATAAGATGTCATATTATTATGGTTTCATGATAATAAAATGTAAATTATTGCGGTAAACTTAATATACAATGCAGTGATTCACATACTTTCTTTGTAATTCAAACTTTTTTTCTCAAAAAACTTGACTTTTTTCGAAGTCTCTGTAGGTTTCAGCTTGGTTCAATTAGATAGAAAGTAAAATTATCGTTTCAATTTGATAGAAAGTAAGATTATTTAATAAATTAGGTCAAATAATAGCTAACCTTATCGTGTTTTGAAGTTTTTTTGAAAATTTTTTCATAAAAATTCCAAGTTTTTACCCAAAAACTCTTACCATTGACTTACTATCCACCAAAAAATTTTAAGATATAATCTTAATTCTACACGTAATTAACAATCAATTGTTCCCACATAGGTAACGCGCGCCGAGATTTTTGCGAAAAAATTAGACAAAAACCAAAAAAAAAATTTCGTTTTTCTTTCTCTTACCATCACACTGAAGTCTTACCATCGGTATTCCCTATCTTAATACATTGTAGACTCTATACCCAATCTTAAAACATAGCCTGCAGACCGGATGCTCTATTCCTTATCTTAATACATGTGGGTCTGCAGGGTCCCCCCACTTCAGCTCCAACATCTACTACTTAGTTATCTTGTGGTCCTGTCAGCATTTTCTCACTTTTTTGGGTAATCGGTCCTAAATAATAACGAATTATAAGTCCCAAATTTCCGCGTTGAAAAAAACTTTACGAAATTAAATCTTATGAACCGCGCTCATCTCATTAGGCAAGAGACATTTGTTGTTTTAGTTGAACCATGTGTCGGAGGTCTTTTTATTCATTCTGGATTGATTGCCGCGGAGACCATGTTCGACCCACACCAAAACTCTCATTATGCTGAAAGTTCTGATTTAAAATCTATATAACCATATAAAAAGGCTGTTATCTACAGGAATGCAAATCATAAATATAGGATTTGAGAGGTGCTAAATTCTGCGCATAATCAAAAACGCTGCGAGCCAATCAAACTCAATGGTGAAACTTTAAGTCAAAACCTTAACTTCCTCACCATATTGTAGATCGATCAAAATCCACCCTCGAATCTAGCAAAGAGTGGCTAGAGAGCGTTCAATTTGTGATCAAAGTAATCGACCAATCGGAATCCACGCTAGAGATGGAATCGCTAGAGATAATTTTGTTGTCGAAAACTATTGTAACTGATTTTGGCTGCAAACCACTTAACGCAGATGGTAATCGCTAGCTTATAATGTATTTTAGTTATTGCTGTGTCATGTATAGATGTTTTGGCTCTTTCCCCCTCCCCCCACCTGCAAATTTTTATATTTGAAGTTTCTGTTCACTTTGAAGTTTCTGTTCATGCAGACTAACTAGGTTATGAGAAACATATTTGGTATTCATAATTAACCTTGTAAAACCACCCGTTATACCATAAAATTCATGTTTGAGTGAGGTGGGGGGGGGGGAAGGAAAAAGAGCCGATGTTTTTTTACAATTCGCATGATTATGCAAATTTGTTTCCGTGTTGTACTATTTGCTGATTTTTTTAATCTCGAGATGATTTATGAAAACCACATAATTGCTATCGTTTCTAAAGCGCTCGCGAAAAAGTTTTTGGTTGCAGTTATACACCTCTTGAAAAAAAACTAGATTGTTTTAGTGTTAGTGGACAAAAAAAATTATACTAAAACAATGATTTTGCCAATATGATGTCAGATTGGAAGGTGCAGAGGTAGCATACATGTGTACAAAGGTGATGGCTGCGGGATTGCTCCCCGGTAGATGACTAGTTTTGCTCATTCTGATAGGTTTTTTATAGCTGTTTCATCCGCGTTGAAAATTGGCTAAATTAGCGATAATCTATTGATAAAACTTGCTATTGCGACAATGAACAACGATAACTCATCGCTGTTGTTTTGTCACTTTTTTGGCGCTAAATTTCAATGTGAGCTCAACTGGGGTAGAAACACAATTTCAAGACTAAGCCCAATCTTCCTATCTTCCTTTTAACACTAATGAAAGTGCCAAAAAATGATAATGACCAACAAGACATTGCTAAGTAGTTGATTGAACTGAGCTGAAAGGCTCTTTTTCTAAATATAAAGTATGAAAACACGGAAATAGTTTTTTGTGTCTAGATTGTCATTTGGCGATGTTTTTTGTAATAGTGAAACGTGGCTATAAATGATGAGAATGAAAAACGAAGCAGTTCTAAAACAAGAACTCTAATTTTATATGAAACACAAGTCGTAAATCAGGAGGCGGATTTATATTGATTCAATTACCAGAGAGTAATTAGAAAATTCAAACTGTAGAAACTATTTTTGAAGAGTCAGCAGCAGCTTCTTTTGACTACGAAGAGCATCAATTTCGAATCATTTGCTTGTACATCGAACCGAGAACAGTTATGAGTTTCGTTGAAATCGTATGTTTATCGTAGATTGTTTTATATGTTGATATAATAGATAATGATATCGAATTTCTTGATTCTCCAAACGCTCAAGCACTGTTGTGTTCGAATCAAAATTGACATATTGCATAAAACGTTTTTACTCTTCAGCTTTTTTTACCGCATTAAGTTTGATTTGCGAAAGTGAGCCAACGAGATTTTGACAATCTTGCTTTACGTCGTTTGCATCAGACAAATTTAGCTGAATAAATAAAAGTTCTGTCATTGATAAATTGATTTATTGGTTTTTGAATTTGTCAAAACATAAATAAACATTTTTACCTTTAAAAGTTATCGTAAAGCCACGAACAGTCTCAATAAAATTAAATCTAATTAAAAATTTCAGCTTTAGAATTAAAACGACGGCCTTTTTCCATAACTATCACGCCTCTTGTAAAATGACCGCATGTAAATGCGTGAACAACTGTCAATACCGCTATTTGAATTTAAAAAATAGTGATCAAATCTGTTCACTAGAACCTACTTGACATGTTTATATCTAATTTATAACACAAAACTAATTCCAAATGAAGCAGGAGATTATATGTCTGCAGTGTCAAACTAAGAGGGAATGATTGGAGAAGAGCCTGTCTTAATCTGTTCAGTTGTGTGTGAACTGATTTCACTGCTCCTGCTCCTGTGTCCATTGGGTGGCCCTTGTTGACCTCCACTTGTGTTTGTAATGACTGGCAGACTTGACGAGGAGTCGGCTGAGGAACAGGAGGGCGACTAGGTTGGAACAGACTAGGAAGTAGAACACGTCTTCGTAGGGCAGTTCGAAGCACACTATCACCCCTATCCCCGCCCCCAGACTCCCCATCCCGTCTATGATGGAAGTGACAGTCGCTAATGCTCGGGCGTCCTTGCGCAACATCTAAATCAGGGCAGTCACTTCAGTTGAAACAAATTAACATCCTGCCCCCTGCCCCCTGCCATGCATTTTGGATGGAGGAGGAGGAGGATGTATACTAGGTTCTAAGCTGGGATTCCATCCATCAGCTAACCATACAGTAGAGCTATTCACTCAATTCGCTGAGCCATTTTACTCCAAACTATATTCGACAGGACTATCTTTTGGTCCAGTTGGGAGGGAGGATGTTTTAATTGACCCGTCAAATGCATATATTTGAATGAATTTTATATTGCGTTGCAAGTTTTAGCCCAAACGCGAAGCTGGTCTTTGAAAACACAACCAAAGAGAAACAACACAGGAGAACCAACTGAGAGACAAATTAGGTTAGACTGCGAGGATCGACCACCAATCTAACCCCACTGGAGTTTCATGGATATTAATCGATTATATTGGATTTTAATTGTCAGTCTCTATAAAATAACAAAAATTATCAATTATAATCGGTTGAAAATGGATTATAATGATACTATTTTGTATGCAATAAAACCCCAATATAATCTATTATAATTTGGCGCAGACACTTTTTGACAGAATAGTGTCTTTATAGTAGTTTTGGAAAGCTCGGAAAATCAAATTGGTCTACCTAAAAAAAAATAGTCGACAAAATATTCAGTTTTTTCTCGAAAAAACGGCACCCCCTCCAAGAAAGTTTTCTGCGCACACCACTGGACTCAACTTAGTATGCCGTTGTTTTTTGCCGCCTTATTTATGCGAAAAAACCACCATTCTTCAACCGGAACCATAATCAGTCCAAGAATCTTCGTACACTTAAAAACGATTTTTGTAATTAATTCCGGGAGGCCATCCACTCACCGCAGAGTTTACTAATCATTTTGAAACGATTTTTTTTAATGCTCTCGAGGAGTCTGTAATCAAAGCGGTAACTTTGTTTGTTGATTTTCTTATCAATCGCCACATAAATGTTTTTCAAAAACGGCTATACTTTTAAGGGAATTGATCATTTAAAAAAAACGTAAGTTAATTTTTGACTAAGATTTTTGCAGAAAGCTCACATAATGCTGTATATTACAATTTGTAAGAGTTATTAACATAATTTTAGATATGTCTCCACCAGTCTGCAACCACCAGTCTGCAATAACAGCACCACCCGCACTCAGTAAAAAGAGAAAATAATCGATTATTTTATAATTATAATCGTACTTTTAGCAAAACTATAATTAATTATAAGCGCCAGTTTTAATGTTTAAACGATTTATAATCCATTATAATGATAACATTTTGGTGAAATTTTAATAAATTATAATCAATTATAATTGATTATAGTTTTTTTCCGAAAATATCTTGTAATCTCTTATTATCTATTATCATAATCGAATATGATCCCTTTTTCTATCAAAACATTGTCTTACAAAAAAAATCAATTAGAATGGGTTATAATTTAGCTATTCAGCAAGAAAACACAGTAAAAATAAATATTATTCAAATTTTATCTATAAGTACGAAGTAACAGTTTTTTTTAGTTCGGTAACCAACTGAAAATCACAAAACAAAAAAAAATTAAACGGACTGAAGCGAGGACTTCTGTTGAATACCCAACTGAAAAGCACTTAGAAGAAAACAAAAATAAAACGAAAAGAAGCGATGACTCATAAATTCTTTTTGAAAAATTTGGAGACTCACAACAAAAATCCCTTATAATCTATCCTTTTTTCTTTTTTTTTAAGTGCGGGCAGCAGAAAAGAAAGGAAAGATGAATACCGTTTTCAGTTACATATTCATGCATGATTGTTGATTTTCTAGCCTTATGATTCTGCAGAATATTTATAAAATGTAATTGTGCAAAATTCTCAGCCAAGCGTTTTCAAGAGTTAAATTAGCTGTAAACAATTTCATGCAAAAAAAAAGATTTTCATGGATTTTCTGCAGAAAAACTGAATGTCATGGATTTTTGCGGCCTGAAAAAATTGATTATATTGTCAAAATAATCGACTATAATGGATTTTTGAATATTGAAAATCAATTATTCCCCATGAAACTCCAGTGCGGGGCAACTACCTGGACACGCGCACTTTCACTACCCATCCACGTGCTATTAAAATACTCCAAAAGAAAACTTCAGCAATGTAGAGAGCCTTATGAATGAAAACCATCACTGTCTCAATCAGCGTCATATAAGCCTGAACCGATCCCTCAATCTAAATATTGTACTCAAGTCCAGAGCATTTTTCCGGACTTTGCGCGACGGTCACGACTCAAATCATGACTTTGCCCGACGCAAAAGCTTCTCTGCGACGGCCAATGCGACGGCGTTTTTTGATCGCGCACATCGGCCGGGGTAATTGCCAGGTTAATTGAAAAATAATTATTTATAGTTAGCGTAGCACTTAGCTTTCAGCTGCAATAAAATCGCTTTTTTTTCTCTCATTTACTCTAGAGTCTCGGAAAAAAAACCAATCGAAGTCTATTGAAAGGCAAAATTATCAATCTTGATGCGGAAAACGTCATAAAGATCGACGAGAACTCCCAAATGAACGAGTGATTTTAACAAACAGAGCATTATTCGTCGAATCTTGTTGATTTCCTTCCCATGCTGAGACGTTTCTTTTAAAGTTTATTTGTAATCATCAGCGGTACAAATTGAAAAAATTGGCAAGTTTTGTACCTTTGTAGTGTCTCTACTTCCTGGCAGCAAAATAACGTAGTCACTAGAAAGTGACATAGACTCAAACAAAGTCAATGAGTAATGGAAAATCCCTTTCTAAGGCTCGTTGAATCTACTATCCGTTGAATCTACTCTATCCGCAAAACCATCAGTGTATATGTATTGCATAGAATTGTATGGTTTTCTTTTCGGGTAAGCATTAGAGGGAACCATCAATTGAAAATAGCAATCATTTCTTCCTTCGATTCAATTTTTAATTTTTACGTAGCCGCCATGACTCCGTTATATCAAAAATTAATAAATCGAAGCTGAAGCCTAGAGTAATTTGTCTAACAAAAACTTGGCTCACTCAACATGAATCAATTGGATTTACAAACTTTATGCTTATGGTAAAGTCATACAAAATCGAAAAAAACTGTAGTGCACGAGATGTTGGCGTGGCTTCTTACGTAAATGAAACGCTTAGTTATGAAATGTTGGTACACGGACTAGTATTAGAACGGCTTTTGTAATCTTGAGGTTGCCATTTTGGCCAATTTGGGACAATTAACCCGCGCTATATTAACGGGTAAGCGGAGATTCAATCCGTCTTGGTAAGTTTTCCAAATTGGGCAAGGGAAGCTTATTTGCCGTAATTGTTTGTTACTAGGAGCGAAATGTATCACTTTGTGTTTTATTGGAGCGTGGAGCGATTGTTTTCACAAAAAATTTCAAATTAAAAAAATGTATTTTTTATTACGCTTTTTTTGATATCATTACTGATCCATAGACATTGAAAGGCAGTCCAAACAATCAGGGCTTCGCCTTGATACGAGCAGTCTTGTTGAACCACGTCAAATTCAAAATTTTAAATCAAAAATAATACACCGCTTTGGCGTGACATGAAATAAAATCGATTATAATTGAGTTTCCTTGTCAGTGTCCACAAAAGTGAAATCAAATCAATTATAATCATTTAAAAATGAATTATAATATTAATAATTTTCAAGGCAACAAAATCCTTTTCTCATCGATTTTTTTTCACTTTTGTGGACACTGACAATGAAACTAAATTATAATCGATTTTTTTCCACCTTACTGACATGCGAATTTCAACGCACATAAAGTCTTTTCTACGTTTTAAATTAAAGTTGGGGGGGGGGGGGGTAATGTTGAGTAAAATAAAAAGTAACAAAAATGTAAAGTTAGGTAGAAAAAAATTCAATTGAACAGCAAGTAACCAACGTAACCAACTTTAATGTTGTTCAATTGAATTTTTTTGCTACCTGACTTTGACATTTTTGTTACTTTTTATATTACTCAACATTACCCCCCCCCCCCCCAGCGTGGGGGGGGGTCGTGGGTCAGGTGGGGAGGTGCGGGGGGGGGGGGGGTTAGTGGGTTCAGGTTGGGGTTGGGGGTTGTTAAGGCTGGGGGTGTTCAGGTGGGGGGTGTGGGTTCAGGTGGGGGTGGGTCAGGGTTAGGGTGAGGGTGGGGGTTCAGGTGGGGAGGGGTATGTGGAGGGGGGTATGTGGGTTCAGGTGTGGGTTGGGGGTTTTTCAGGCTGGGGGTGTTCAGGTGGAGGGTGTGGGGTGGGTTCAGATGGGGGGGTTTGTGGGTTTAGGTGGGCGGGGGTTACGTGGGTTCAGTTGGGGGGGGGGGGGGTGTGAAATCACATACCCCCCACCGAATGTGGGTTCAGGTGGGGGGTATATGATTTCAGGTGGTGGTTGGGGGGTGGAGGTTTGTGGGTTCAGGTGGGCGGGGAGTATGTGGGTTCAGGTGGAGGAGGGGGTATGTGGGTTAGGTGGGAGGGGTATGTGGGTTCAGGTGCGGGTATGTGGGCTCAGGTGCGCGGTTGGTGTAAGTGGGTTCAGGTGGGGTGTGTGGGTTCAGGTGGGGGGTATGTCAGTTCAGGTGGGGGGGTATGTGGGTTCAGATGGGGGGTATGTGGGTTCAGTTGGGGGTGTATGGGTTCAGTGGGAGGGGGTATGTGGGTTCAGGTGGGGGGGGGTATGTGGGTTCAGTTGGGGGTGGGGGTTGTTCAGGCGGGGGCTGTTCAGGTGGGGGGGATTGTTCAGGTGGGGGCTGTTCAGGTGGGGGGGATTGTTCAGGTGGGGGGTTCAGTGGGGGGAGGGGAGCAAAGGGGCAAACGTTAGGGGGATTGAAGGGGAGCAAAGGGGCAAACATTGAGGGATGGATGGGGGAGCCCAACGGAATCCTTTTGCAATTTTAGTTTAGGTTTTG